TTTTGGATTTGCATAGGGATTTGATTCTTAGAAGGTCCCATTCATTTATTTTATCTTCTCCTGGTTGTATGTTGAGAGTATTTTTTATGCTCAAATAAAATAAAGGGGGGGCGGAATTAGAAAATACAATATTAACAAGAGTTGTAAAATAAATCTAGCTTATGTCTGAAAAAAAAGATGGAATTTTGTCATCTTTGCCTCCTCATAGCACTCTGGCTTGACCTTCTCCACCACTGTTCTTTTGACAGTCAGTAGGATATTTCTCCAATACCACAACACAAAGACATAATATATGTGTAAATATATAGGAAAGTATATTATACCACCAAAACTGTGATTATCATAATAGAAAATGAATATATTTAGTAGAAACTTCTTGCCTAAGGGTTATTGAATTTCTTTCTCACCATAGCTGACTTTTTCCCATTTTTTATTTCATACTTAAATATTCTAGCCATCTTCAGAAACTTCCCAAAAGTTCTTATATCAGAATTTCTTCTTCCTACTCAATTACTTATCTGTTACTGTCATTCAATACCAACCGCTTTGTGTTGTAAAGCACTATAGGAGATCCCAGCAACCTCAGAAGATAAAGGGGGACAGAATGCAAGTGTTTATTTCCTCTTAATATTACTTACTTTATCTCTGTAAAACAGGGGGGAAAGAAACCCAAGTATTCTTAATCTACTTTTCTAAAAATAGACCATAAGTGCTGTCTTTTGCTCTAGAAAATGACAGGCAAAAAGTTATAACAACAAGACTGATAAATCAATCTGTTCATATATTTGTGGTGGTGGTGGTGGTGGTGGTGGTGTTTGCTGAGTGGACTACAATTTCCTAGTGACCTATGAACAACAGATCTGAACTTTGCCCTCGCCTGTGCCATCTCTAATATGTTAAGCTCATTGGTTACATTCACTGTGTCACTCCTTCTTGACAGGGTCTTCCTCTCTTTCTCTGATCCACCACCTTTCCCAGCAGGATGCCTTTCCCCAAGGACTGGCCACTCTTGACAACGAACCCAAAGCATGTGAGATGATGTTTCACCCTCCTTGCCTCTGAGGAGCACTCTGGTTGCATTTACTCCAAGAGAAACTTGTTCTTTTGTCAGCCATGAGACATTAATTACTCTTCTCCAACACTACAATTAAAAGTCATCAATTCTTCTCCCGTCACTGTTGTTGTTGAGTGCCATCAAGTCGATGATGTCTCAAAGAATGCACACCAGATACGAACCTTCCCTATCCTGTATCGTTCTAATGTTCTCTGTCATGCTGAAGCCCCTTGCGGTCATCACTGCATCAATCAATCTGAATGCATTGGAAGCTGGAGGGGCATCCACTTCCTAAACAACATGCCTCCAGAAACTCTAAGAACTTTGATACATGTCAATAGTTATAAAAAGGCTTCAGGTCTTTTGTTCTTAGGGTCACTATGAGTCATACTCAACTTGAAAGCAATCAACAACAAAAACCAAAACAACACATTTAGCCACTTAGTATACCACTAAGCCTACTAGATGAAGCCATTTGACATTAAGTAGCATTAATAGACGTATGCCTTCTCACAGTGAGCCTAATCTCTTGTAGTTTAGGTAAACTAATACTTTGGACATGTTGCAAGGTGATGCCAGTTCTTGGCATTATGCTTGTGAGGGAGGAGGAGGGGAGGTGCAAGAGAGGAAGACCCTCAATGCAGTGGATTGACTCAGTGACTGGGGTAATGTGGGTACTTGTGGCAGAGACAGTAAGGCTGGCTCAGGATAGAGCAGGGTTCAGAGCTTTTATACCTAGGGTAGCTTTGAGTCACAGGTGATTTGATGGCAAACAACAACAACCTTAAATTGTTATTTTAATAGTAATTTCATCAAGGTGAGAAAAGTGGAGGGTCAGAGAAAGAAAGACCCTCAACAAGATGGATTCACAAAGTGACTCTTAACAATGGATTCAAGTATATGAGAGATGAGAATGGTGCAGGATAGGACAAGGTTCAAATCTGTTGTTCTTAGGGCCACTGAGTCGTAGACACCTCCATAGCTCCTGACAACAACAAAATATTTTCCAGGACAATGAATGCTGAAATTCTCATGTATCCTTGTTTGACACTAAGTTTGTCTCCGTGCTTAACCAGAATCACATCAGAAACTTAAATAAGCTCTCCAAGTGTTAGTTTCGACGTCTAAAGACTCGACATAGACGTAGACGTACATAGTTTTAATCTCACCTTCGAGCTTTTAGAGGTAATTCAATGCTGGTTACTTCACTCTCCACTTATGACTCTGTCTCAAGAAGTGTTTCTTTTGAGAAAAGAGGACAGAATGCAGTTCTCAAGGACATGGCAGTGCTACTTTAGAAGGACTGAGTGTTTTATGGGAAGGTGAATGTGATTATAAATAGTACTGGATGGGAGCAGATTGTTCTATTTTTGTATTGTTTTCTCTTAGATCTCTCTTCCTGTTACTCTTATTTCTTCATCTCAGAATACTGGTGTGATATGTTTCAGCAAGGGCAAGACAGGACCTGGAACAAGATCTGGGGATATGAAAAGCCAGGAGCATTTCTACTTCTAAAATGTATATGTTGTTGTGTGTCATGTTGAGTAAGAACCAACCCATATATGGGTTTTCAGAGACACTTATTCACACAGGAGAAGATTGCCCATTCTTTTCCTGCGGGGTATAGTTGGTGGACTTGAACCGCATGCTTTTGGGATTGCAGCACAGCTTCTTGCCACTAGAGCACTAGAGCTCTTATATATAAACAATATTATAGCAAATTGAAACCAAATCTTGATTTAAAAAAACAAAACACCAAAACTCAAAAATTTACTACTGTTGAGTTAGCTCTAACTCCTAGTGACTTTCCATTGTTTCCGAGGCCTTAAATCTTGATGGAAGGAGACTACTTCTCTCTCTCCTACAGAGCCATGCTGGAGGCACCACCAACCTTTGGGCTGGCCGAACAGCACACTGTGGACTATTTCCCACAGCCAGAGCTCTTGCTTAAAAGAGGACCAATTTGTGTATAGCATCCTTTGGACAAATGTACATTGTGACTTATTGTGACAACCAATTAGTTAAAAGTATGGAATTTCCATAGTCTGGCCACATATAATTATTATACACCAGGCTCCTCCTTGGAGGCAAGGATTCTGGGGCTTCGTCTGACATACTTTGGACATATTGCCAGGAAGGACGGGTCCTTGGAGAGGGAGATCATGCTTGGGAGGGTGGAGGGACAGCGCAGGAGGGGAAGACCCTCTATGAGATGGATTGATTCGGTGACTGGGGTAATCGGGATGGGTGTGTTGGAGGCAGTGCAGTTGACGCAGGACAGAGCAGGGTTTAGGGCTGTTGTGCATAGGGTCGCTATGAGTCGAAAAAGACTCGACGGCACATAACAACAACAACAATTATGTAATCTAGAAGTCATCATGGTTACTAATCATTTCTCTGAGTTGCTATGTACTGTCAAGTGAAAACCAACTCATAGGCTGATCTCCCAGTGACTTTTAGAGACTATATATTGTATAAGAGGAAATTGCCCATTTTGGTTTCCCATGGAGTAGCTGGTAGATTTGAACTAGTTGCCTTTGTGTTGGCAGTGAACCTCCTTACCACTAAGCTACAAGAGTTCCCTGGAGTGTGAAATGAGAAAATAGAAATATCCTATTCGTTCCATTTCTAATGGTAACACTTAGCTGTTAAATTATCTTTATTAGTTTATAAATGTCAGTATTTGATATTTGTAATAACTAATTTCTTTTAAATATAAATCGAGAAACCAGCTTTGTACTGCTTATCTTTATATGCCACATTGCCTATGTTTTATTTCTTTGGTAGAATAAGATTTAGGCTTTTAAGCATTTTAACTTTTAATACTGGGAAATATTTTGTTTTTATTGATGAAATAACTCAGTCAAAAAAGTAAGATTCTTTTTCTTGTTCAGGGTTTTTTGTTTTGCAGTTTTTTATAATGACTCTATAGTTATAAAAGACAAATTGAAATAGTCATATTAAGGCTTATGCTTTATCATATAAAATATGAAGCAAAAAGTAGTTATTTGACTTCTTTTCCACCATTATATTTTCAAAGATTTGAAGAAATCATAAAGTAATATTAGTGAAGAGAAAGATAGTTTTGTGTTTATAATTCAACATCATTTTTGTAGAGGCAAACCTTGTTTGCAGTAATATGTCATTCCCCCCTATATTAAATCTTAACAACTAGTTCTTTTGTAATAATCTTGTAATATATGCACAGTTATTCTTAGTTTATATTTAAAATAACATTATTCATAATTATTCACCTTACCTACTACTCATTGCCATCAACTTTGTAATTAAAGACACTCTCCATCTGATTTCCAACACTATAAAGCTCTTTATAGCAGGAAAACTGCCCATCTTTCTTCCTCAGAGCAACTGGTGGATTTGAACTTCCAACATTTTGATTAAGCCACAGCCTGATACATTAAGCATTGTGCCACCAGGGTCCCTTAAATTACTTCTAGTTATATCTATTGTCAATATTTTTATTTTCGTTTAGTTGCTGGGAGGAAGATCAACATGTTATTATTATGTGTAGTCCCAACTTGATAAATGCCTGATGATTTGGCCTTGCCTGCCTGGCATCTTGTACAGTATTGTGGTATACAATGATTCATTTCCCATGATGCTTTAAGGTTAAGTGTTCCACTTTAAGGTGCTTCGATCTTAATCACCCAATACAAGCTGCATACCCCGGGTACTTAGGAGAAGAGTGTGCAGTGACTCAGTCTATGCACAATTCATCCCTTTGAAATGATGCATACTTATGTATATACACACACATACGTGCACATTCATTTTATGTATGGCACTGTCAAGGATATTTCATAAGGTGAAAAGAGTGCCTTGTAAGAATAAACGTCTTGGTATTCTACAAGTTCGAAAAGGCAAAACTGGAGCTTTGCAAGACCTTATAAACAGGTGTCCTAACATCTTTCCTCCTCTTTTGCAGATGACCCCTCTCAACAGGAAGACAATGATCCCCCAAAAGAATATGATCCTGGACAATTTGCAGGCCTGCTCCACGGATCCTCTCCAGCCTGTGAGTGCCCTGAAAATCCATTTCATCTCTACAGCAAGAGAGATCCCTATGAAGACAGCCAGGAGGAAATCAGTTTGGCCAACAGTCCTTTGCCTTTCAAGCAGTCACCCATCACGAACAACCCTGAGCCTTTAGTAAAGAAAGTGAAACCCAAAGTGGTCAATAGAACCATTTTCCACAAAAAAAACAACCAACTTGAGAACCATACCATTGTTGGCACGAGAACGACCAGGAGCGGATCCCGGAGTGGGGACCAGTGGGTTATGAACACAGGGGGGTTTGTGGAAAGAGCTTGCACTTTGGGGAGAATACGGTCTTTGCCAAAAGCCTTGCTTGATAAACATTTATCAAAAAACGTCTCCAAGTCAGATTCTGATCTCATCGCCTACCCTTCAAATGAGAAAGCAGCAAGAGTAAACTGGCGTGAATCCTCTACGGCTGAACACAGTTCGAAAAGGAATTCTGAAAGAACGCCGTCCTTCACTTCTGAATGGGAGGAAGTAAGACATGTTTCTTGTTCTCTGTGAGGCCCTGGAATCAAGGGAGGTTTGGGGGAAGAACATCCAGCCTTTTAAGTCTGTGCGAGGCAGAAATAAATTAAAAAATGCATGCAGATCCAAGGGGAAGAGAAAGGTTCTCAGGATAATGCATGGTAATTTCACAGCGAGTGGAATAGAGCAGACACATTGCCACACATGTAAGAAAATCTATTGTTTCCATAGAAATTGATATCAAGCAGAAGTAATAAGTAGCTATGAGATGCAGGAGAATGTTCACATTATGTCCTACCAAGCGCTGCAGCTGACAAATTGAGAAAAATCTTCGTAATTTTTTGTTTTTTTGCTACTCTGTGTCATTTTGCTACTTGCAAGACTCTTTATTAGCTTGTCTTCCTCCTTTAAAGTATCTTGTGCTGTCGGAAATGCTCCTTATAATCATAACCTTAATGGTAAACAGAACAGTCCTGGCTCCTCTCCAAGCACCATCCAATGAGGACACATCTCACCTAATGCTTCCCTTTCATAGCTATCAGAGAACTATTAAGTAAAGAAATGTGTTGGGGTCTAAGTTTGCCAGTGTGAGCTCTACTAAATGCCAACATCATCACGAGAAATGGCCCTGTAAAGATAGGAACATACATCCTTTGTCCTTAAGGAACACCACATCGGAATATGAGAGATTTTCTTGATTGTTGTATTTTTCAAAGGCTAGGCCACACTCTCCCTGGCAATTTCATTCTGACATGGCACGTTTTGACTCAAAAGATTAGGCCCGTTCTATTACGTTTTAAGGCACAAGAGATCACTATACAATTTTGAGAACTAGAAATGGAAAGATTCTGATATTGACATTCTGAACTGAGCTGTTTGGCGTGACTACCTCTCCTCTACACCTGTTTCAGAGAGAATAAAATGAGACATTTAAGCTCTGTGTCCTTTCTGAAATCTGCCATCCTCCTTGGATTTCTGTGATGATGAAGAGGAGATTAAATGATACAGGGCTATAATTTAGACATTCACCTCTCTAATATTCTAGAATATTTGGTTATTTAATTTACAAAAGAGTTATTAACTTGGCAAATAACTCCAGGAATCCCTTTTTTGAATGAGGCAGCATTAAGTGGCATCTAATTAATCTCTTAGACTTGAAGTACTTCTGTCTAGATTATTGTAATTGATGATACTAATCACCTTGTAGCTGATCAAGTCATTTAGCTAATAATAGGTTCCATTGGTCGTGTTCACAGACTGAAATCTGCCCCTTCACCAGTCAGACGAGGAACTGAGAGGAAAGATGACCCAGAGAATCAATAGCTTCACATGCATTTACTCTCCCTCCCTGCCCCTTTTGAAGATGAAAGAACACACGGTCCCTAACTTACTCACCCATCTTGCTTGTAAACAAATCTCACTTTAAGAAAGAAATGGCAAGCCAGTTTTGAGAAATAAAGGAAGGAGAACATAATTTTAGGTGAGCATGTTTCAAAAGCAATTTCACTCTATCTGCCTCACTTTAAACCTTTCTCTACTGGTCTCCTCATTGTGGGATTGGCATGGCAGTTATCTTCCAAGAATATATACCTGGGGCAATTGAAAAGTATTTTAAAATGCAATATTGAAGGTGACTATGAGAATCTATTTGTCTGGTTGTTTTTTTTATTTATTGCAGATTGACAAAATAATGAATTCCATAGATGTCGGAATCAGCAGTGAACTTGAAGAGATGAATGGTGAAAAGAAAAGTAAGGAAATCTATCCTCTACAATAATGACCACTTTATTCTTTAAAACTAGCTAGAACTTGATAGGAGTCTTTAAGTAATTTCCTGTTTTATTGTAAGAGTAGCTACAGATGATTTGCTTCTACTTTCAGATCAAATAGTCCTGGCCTGTAAACAATGCATTTATAATTATAAGCATATTTATTTAACATATTGCAAATTGTTTTCCTGTCCTATTTTACCATACTTGTTGTAATTAATAGAGTGTCAACTTTACAGAGAGCTCAGAATGAAGTACTTACTTGCACATTTTGCAGAAGATGATAGCTTAATGGACTGTTTCTTGTTCAGTAAAATTTTTTCTTCATCTAGTTAAAATAATGACGTTTTCTGAGTATGCGCTCCATTATGGTGAGAAGTCCACGAGGGTGCTCTTCATCTTCTAGGACTTAAGTTCATATGCTCTACCAGAGTACCTTAGCAGAGTGTCACACAATTTGTAGATTTTTAATCACTGTTTAGTATATGACCTTAAAGACAGATTGTTTTCTACAATTAAAATTTGTTAATGTGAGTCTTTTTAAAACTCTTTGATGATTTCTTTGCTTAATATTTATGAATATGAAATATTTCAGCTTGTTGTTGTTGTTGGATGTCATCAAGTTAGGTACTACAACTCATAGCAACCCTACGAATAGATCTGAAGCTTGCCCTGTCCTGCGTCAGAAGCTCTGTCATGCTCAAGGCTGTTGTGGTATTTCCTGTGTCAATCAGTCATGTCAAGGGGCTTGTCTTATGCTGACTCCTTCCTTGCTCAGAATAATGTCTCTCTCCAAGGACTGGTTCCTTCTGAAAATGTGCCCAAAGTGAATGAGATGAAATTTCAAGTGAGACCATCTTTGCCTCTAAGGAACACTCCCTGGTTGCAATTCCTTCCAGACAGATTTGTTAGTTCTTTTGGAAGTCCGCGGAATATGCAATACTCTTCTCCAACACTACAATTCAAAGGCATCTGTTCTTCCTGGGTCTTCTGAATTTATTGCCCAACTTTCAGATGCATAACAAGCAATTGAATATCCACTCACTAAGTTTAAAAACACAAATAATATTTCTACTGATGAAACTACTTCACTTAAGAACAGAAAATTGAATTTTATTTTATTCTGCCACTACAGTGATGTAACCTATATGGAAATTAAATTGTTATCAGCTACTTGTTGATAACTGTGACTCGTGATGATTTTATGAACAGTAGAATAAAATGTTGCTCGGTTCTTAGTTATACTCGGGAGGATTGTTGTTCTTATGTGACATCAAGTTTCCTGTGATTCATTGTGATCCTATGTACAGCAGCTCTGAAGCCTGCCCTGTCCTGAGTCAGTCTCACTGATTCCAAAACACCTACCCCCATTACCCCAATTACTGTATCAGTCCATCTCCTCCTGGATCTTCCTCTCCTATGCTGTTTCTCCACCCCTCTGAGTATGATGTCCTTCTCCAAGGAACGATTCCTCCTGGCCACAAGCCAAAGAATGTGAGATGGAGGGTCCTAATCCTAGCCTCCAAGGAGAAACTTGGTTTCAGTCTCTCCAAGACAAACTTGTTTTCTTGGCAGTCTATGGTATGTCCAAAACTCTTCTCCAGCACCACAACTTGAAGGCATCGATCCTTAGTCCTTGTCCATTTCTCTGATGCATAGCAAGTAATTACAAAGATGATGTCCTGGATTAGGCATACCTTAGTCTCTAAACTGATATCATTGCTTTTCAGTACTTTGGAGAGGTCTCCAACAATAGATTTTCCCAATACAATTTATCTTTTGATTTCCTGACTGCTGGTGCCAAGAGTGATGATTGTGGAGCCAAGCAAGCCATAATTGTTAACAACCTCAATCTCTTCTCCACCAATCATTGTGCTGCCAATTGGCCCAGTGGTGATAATCTTTGTCTTCTTGATGTTGAGCTTCAATCCATATTGAAGACTACAGTCCTTTACCTTCTATAGCAAGTGATTCAGGTCCTCCTCACTTTAAGGAGCAAAGTTGTATCATCTGCATAAAGTAAGTTGTTGATGAGTCTTCCTCCGATGCTGATGCCACATTCCTCCTGAGAAAGCTAAGTCTCCCAAATGATCTTTTCTGCATATAGATTGAAAAGGTATGGAGACAGATCGCATCCCTGATGCATTCCCTTCCTGATTTTGAACCATGCAGTATTTTCTTGCTCTGTTCTGAGGACTGCTTCCTGGTCTAAAAATAGGTTTTGCATAAGGTCAATCAAGTACTCTTGATTCCCATTTTCCTCAAGGTTAGCCACAATTTTTTTGTGATCCACACAGTCAACTGCCTTTGCATAGTCAATCAATCACAGATAGATATTTGTCTGGTACTCTTTGCTTTCAGCCAAGATTCTTCTGATATTGGCAAGACTGTTTCTAGTGCCACAACCTCTTCTAAACCCAGCTTGTATTTCTGGTAGTTCTCTGTCAGTGTACCATTCCAGTCATTTCTGGATAATCTTCAGCAAGATTAAGATAGTGTGTGATATTAGTGATGATGTTGTTATTGTTAATTGCAATTTGAGTCAGGCATGACTTATAGTGGCCCTATGAATAAAAGACCTGAACCCTTTCTATAACTATTGTTGTTTCTTTAAGTTCATAGATTTTCCAGAGGCATGTTGTTTAGGAAGTGGATGTCACTCCTCCTTCTAAGCCTGTCTTAATCTGGGAGCTCCACCAAACACTGTCCACCATGGGCAACCATTATGACATTTTACATACCAATGGCACAGGGTTCAGCATCACAGCCTCTACAGATTACCTCAAATACAGCAAATTGACAGACAAGTGCTGTACCACTTAGAAGAATGTTCCTCCAAAATATAATACTAGACCCGAGGGCCACAGTCCTGAGGGTCCAACAAACTTTTAAATATATAGGTACTCCATGAGGTCATATTGGCTCTAAGCAAGATAAATAGAAAAAACCCAAACATTCCACAAAAACCTTCAACCAGAACAAGAGAGCCCACCTTTCAGAGTCCAACCACTTCACCCAGTCTGCAGGAAAATTTTTACTATGCAATGAATAAATATATAATATTTCTATTTATATTGAAATAGCTATTTTTCAAAAGTATTCTGGTAGGTCTATCAGCAAACTAAAATTTATGAATGCTTATTCAGTGTGTAGTCTGAAGTTGAAAAATATATCAACAGTGGAACAATGAAGAAATAAATATAATCTCATTTTAACACAGTGGTGGGTGGCATTTGGAATATGCAAATGTTGTTGAGCATCTTTGACTGGAATAACGATGCATCGAACAACAGAAATGAACCCTGTCCTATCCTGTGCCATCCTTATAATTTGGAAATGACGGCTTTTGGTCTTAAAAGAAAGGTTAAATTTCAAGACAGATATCTGGTATTCATTAGCTGTAATAAAAGTGAATCAAGAACAACAAAAAGATAATATAAATATAGCAACAAAAGATCATAACACCTGCATATAGATTCAAATATTTTTAATGAAGAAAAATATACACTGAAATATTGGAAGAAACAGAAAAAGGAAATGTTAAATTAGGATAAACAATTTTGAGTTCTGGGATAGTCAATGTAACATTGTAAAAGCTGGTCAATAGTGAGAAAATTGTAAATTCTTATTGATTTGTAAAGCAGGAAGCAAAAGGTAAGACCTAAAAGCCAAGAATGTACAATGATATGATAAACAATTAGGCAAAGCACAAGCAAGCAATACTTATACCATAATCCACAACCAAGTTACCTGTGTGAAGCAGATAAAGGTGTATTTGACATATCTTTTATTTTTTGCTTTTCTCTCACATGATGTTGTTTTGCTGGTTTTGGTCTTTTGGACTAAAGATTTGCTAATTCCATCAGTTTTTTTGAGTCTCTGTCTGTCTTCATTTGAATGGGGATAAATATGGATATCTTCCAGTCAGTTGGCCAAGTAGCTGTCTTCCAGATTTCTTGGCACAAACTGCTAAGCATGTCAAGGGCAGCATCTGTTTGTTGCAATTTGTCTGTAGATATCCCATCAATTCCTGGGGCTTTATTTTTTTGCCAAGTCCTTCAGAGTATCCTGAACTTCCTCTTTCATCACTTTTGCCTCTTGATCATATATTGTTTCATGAAATTATTCTGTGTCAGTCAGTTTTGTTTTGGGGTTTTTTTTTTTTGGTACAGTGACTTCATCCATCTTCATTTCATGTTTCCTGAATTATTCAATATCCTGCCCATAGCATCCTTTAGCATTGCAACATGTGGCTTGATTTGTTCCTTAGTTCCTTTAGCTTAAGAAATAGTAGCAAATTAAAAGTCATCATTAAGTCTGTTGTCCCAGTCTATTTCACCAGGAATCTCTTGTGCTATTGTTATTTCTTCTACTTCAGTAGATCTAATATCCTCCTTTAGCATTTTATCTCTTCTAAAGGCATGGTCAATTGCTGAAATTGAGGAGGACCTGAAACGCTTGCTGCAGAAGGTCAAGGACTACAGCCTTCAATATGGATTGAAGCTCAACATCAAGGAAACAAAGATCCTCACCACTGGGCCTATTGGCAGCATCATTCTGGCTGGTGAAGAGATTGAGATAGTAACAGTTTAGTTTGCTTGGCTCCACATTCGACACTCTTGGTACCAGCAGCCAGGAAATCAAGAGATGAATTGCACTGGGAAAGTTAGCTGTTAGGGACCTCTCCAAAGTACTGAAGAGCAACAGTGTCAGTCTGGAGACTAAAGTGTGCCTGATCTGGACCATAGTCTTCGCAGTTGCATGCTATGGGTTGGAGAGCTGGATAGTGACTAGGGATGATAGAAAGCGAATTGATGCCTTTGAGCTGTGGTGCTGGAGAAGAGTTTTGAATACACCATGGACTGCTGGGAGAACAAACAGATTTATCCTGGAGAGGGTAAAACCAGGCTGCTCCTTGGAGAAAAGGATTCTGTAGCTTCATCTGACATACTTCAGACATGTTGCAAGGAGGGACCAGTCCT